CGGTGGATGCTTTTGGTCACCCTATACCACAAAGGGTTTGGTTCCCTCAGGAAGCGCTAGAGCCCTTATCTCCAATTTCACAATGATAAATTTGTGTTTTCACTTATTAAGAAAGAAATTAAATGCTATTTTTTAATTCAAAATTTTCACACATTTGTATCTTATTTTCTCTCCTATCATATAGGATTCAAATTTGATCAAACTTTATTCTCTTTCCTTTGGGCTAAGGCTCATGGGAATTACTCGGATATCTCCCTATCTGTTTTAAGATGCATGAAAGCTCCCCATGAAAAATGAATGTTTATCCAACCAAAATATTAAAGAAAGTATATGGAAAAATGAAGAAAACACATATTGTTATCACTAATAATGGTGAGAATGCAAGAAAATACCTTATGTAGATAGGAACAAGTCCTTCTTCCTTGGGGAGAGTTTGAAAATGAGCTAAAACCTTCATGGCTTCCACACTGTACTTTGGATCGCCAGAAACAACACTAAGATAATTAAACTCAAGCTGTAATGTTGAAACTTCTGAAGTACTACTCAGACCACCAGGGGCAGGATGTGCTGATGCATCATGCAGAACTACATCGCTAAAAGGAATTGCAGTTGGACTGGAAGTAAAAGCAGATAGGAGACGATCAGCCAAGTTTTTGGCCACATCTAGATAAACATCTGGTTTAGGCATCTTGTGTGTGGAGTTCATTCCCTGTTCAAACCCACTAAGATGATATGCACTCAAAAGACCGCCTAAAACACGTATTGTTGTCTCAAACAAGTTAACTTGACCCTTTTTAGTAATTCTATCTAATAAGTGTGCCTCAATCCATGAGCCTGCTTCAGAAACAACATCATTGAGGCCCATTATCATGGCAGTATCAAGAGCATCCACAACAGTAGCACCTAAACCTCCTAACCCATCGACTCCTTGTTGGCTAATCGGCATAAGCTCATCAAAGCCCATTGCAAATTTTTTATACCCTGACCATGCATGGATGAAGGCTTTCTTAACGCTTTGTTGCCTAGCTATCCACTTTGGATATGCATTAGACTTCTTAAATTCATGGATGAAAGAATTATTACTAACTTCTTCATTTGGTGGTAATCGAGGAGGAAGCCTTGGTGGTCTTCTCCAAAATCTTCTGAAACTGCTGCCTCTATCAGCAGTGACCTTTCCTTCTTCACCTATTCTATCACCTTCCACTACTCTA